AAAAAAAATCAATTCAAATTTTTTTTTTTTTTTTTTTGTATCATCCTTTTTTCCAATCGAACTTATTTCGAGTTCTCGACTCTTCTAACGTCCGTGCTAAGTGTGGCCGTCTCGCTCGGTTTCTTCAAATTGTCACTCTTTCTCACGCTGTTGTTTTATTGCTATTACATTACAGCCGGTGGCACATTCGTCAAAAGTTGTGGATTGGCGTTCTCGTTGTGGCTGTTTTGCGTTTAGCTTGTATTGTTGTCGTTCTGGCGTGGCCTTTTAGGACAGATCGCCTTTAAAAAGAGGAACGTCGGTCTCACTGGCTTCACTTGCTGCTTCAATCACGGCTTCAACTGGTGGAGTGATGCTGAAAGTCACGTTCGGAGGACCAACCTGTAACATGCGAGTCCATGGAAGCGTCCACAGTCCCCGTCGCCGATTGTCCTTTTCGCGTCCTCCTCGATTTTTCGCTGTTTTTTTTTTCACAACACTATCAAGATGTTTCTTTTCCCCTTTCCCCCCAATGTCCCCTCCCAAAAAACAAGCACTTGACGCTCACGCTTGCGTCCGTTTCGCATGTCGCTAACTTGCGCGAGTTTTTGTTAGCAGGCGAACCAGCGACGCTTCTATACGTGCCGAGGAAGAACCGGAACGAGCCCTTTTCGTTTAATTGGCGCCTTGGTGTCGACGATCACGAGAAAGCCCCAGGTTGGTCTCGGAAGGCGTACATCAAGTCTTTCCGAGGCCAGTATGTGACGCGCGGCTCACTTCCGCCTTTTTCCTTCTTCGGTGAAAGTTGGTGACAACTCGCATAATGCCGCCATCGAGCGGAGAAACGTTGTCATCGCGGTTTACGTGACGTCACAGTCGCAATAAAACACAGCCGCGCGGACATCTAGTTTATGCCACAAAACATATTTTTGGGATCAATTATATCATATTTTTGATTTGTTTTCCAAGGGAGGGCTGATCATATGGTTTCTTGCATTTTTCTTGTGACGTTGCCTTCATTCATAACCACAAATGAGCTTTAAGCAAAAGCAAAATCGGGCCAATCTGACGCTAGTCGTTTGTGTATCGGGGCACAAAACAGAATTGGATTGTGGCAAATTGCGTTTGTAATTTCCACACAGGTTTATATTTCTTTATTTTCCCATCGTTGTATTTTCCAAAGAAAGAAAGAAACATTTTTTACTTGTCATCTAATTTTTCTCATTGTATTTTTTTTCCTCATATTTTTGCATTTGAAAGAAATTCCAATTGGAAATTTTTCCCCATTATTTTTGTATGGCGCCGTATTTTTTGTAATTTTACCGGTAGCTTTATAAAATGTCCAATTTGATTTTTTACCCTCCCAAAAATGCTAATCTTATCCAAATATATTTTTATTTTAAGTCCTCAGTTTTCAAATGTTATTTCCACCATCAATTGTTGTCCCCCCCAGGCCCCGCAACAGATGCCTGTTTGCAAGTGCTCAAAAGATACAGTTGAGTTGAGAGTTGAGTGAATGCGGAAATTGACCTCTGTAATCACAACTCGGTTTTATTTCAAAGCAAAAAAATAATAATTACAAAAATAACATGGACAAGGCACAACAAAGAGGCGCGTTTGCTAGTTTGCCGCAGCACACAAAGAAACGACACAAGTTGAAGCCTTATTGTTTCGGACGATACCAAAACAAAAGATTTATGGGTAACGGTTCGTGAAGTGAGCTCATTTCCCGACTCACTCGAACAGCAACACATCAGCCAACAACAAAGGCAAGTGTTTGTTCGGGGCGGGCATTCGCCACGTGAGTCGATCGATCATGGAGTATTCACGGCGTGCCAGTGACATCCGAGGCGCACTTGTGTTTGTTGAGCTGATACTTGTATGCAAATTTGACGGGACACAGGCCACAGCCGTAAGGTTTTTCTCCCGTGTGCGTCCTCACGTGCGTCCTCAAGTTGCCGCTCTGCGCAAAGCTTTCGCCGCAAACGGTGCAAGCGAAAGGTTTCTCACCCGTGTGCGTCCTGGTGTGTTTGGACAAAATGTCCTTGCGGGAGAACGTTTGACCGCACACGGAGCAGGGATAGGGCTTTTCTCCCGTGTGGGTCCTGGTGTGGATCATCAGATTGCCTTTTTGGGAGAAGCGTTCGCCACAAACCGGGCAGTGAAAGGGTTTCTCCCCCGTGTGCCACCTCATGTGGATCATCAAGTTGCTCTTCTGGGAGAACCGCTCGCTGCAGATGGAGCAGGGGAAAGGTTTCTCCCCGGTGTGTTTCCTCATGTGCTTGGTCAAGTTGACCTTCTGCGAGAATTTCTCGCCGCACGTGGAGCACGGAAAGGGTTTCTCCCCCGTGTGCGTCCTCATGTGGATCATCAGGGTGCCTTTCAGCGAGAAGCTTGCGCCGCAGATGGAGCAAATGAAGGGTTTCTCGCCCGTGTGAATCATCATGTGCGTTTTTAGATTTCGCTTGGTGCCGAAACCTTTGGCGCACTCGGAGCATTTGAAGCGGCGCTCGTGCTTCTGACCTCTCCGACGACCTCGCTTGGGGTCTTCCTCGTTTGTCCGGTTGTCGCCGTCCGACATAGGCGCCGAGAGGCCGCCGGCTTCTGTCCTGCCTCGCCTGCGCCGATGCTGAGACGACTGAGCTGTGTGGTCCTCGTCTTCGCCCTTCACCACCACTCGAATCACCGGGAGCCGGCAGCCGGGGGCCTCCTCCTCGTCCTCGGGGAGACCCCCGAGATGCCCTCCTCCCCCTTGACTGACGTCCACCTCTTCCTCTTCCTCTTTGACGCAGGGGGGCTCTCGCTTCCCCACGCCGGAGCTGCACTCCCGAAGCGCCTCTGGACGGACGGCTGTCGGTCACAAGAAAGCAAATGTCACCGTTTTCATGTCTCCGAACAAGAAGAAGCAAAGGGAGAGGACTGAAGCCTCGAGCAACCATCAACAGGCCCTCGCAACCACGTTCACTTTCATCTGCAGTTGGATGCTTTGGAACAAAATAACCAAGCTCGAGTTCAATTTGGGTTATGCGCCCTCGAGACGGTTTTGAAGGCATATGTCCTACCACTTTCCTGACACACGGAGATACTGGTGTGCGGGGCACTTTTTTTTCTCCTCCTTTTGAACAAAATGCGAGACTTGGAATTCGCTGCTTCAAAACGAAAATGGACGAATTTCTATCCAGTGACAGGCATGGGGCCTTGTGACTTTTTGTGGGTCCTGTTAAGATGGATATGCACAGCCAATCTTGTAGGATCGACAAAAGGTGACATTTTATCCTGTTTCTTTTTATGCTCCCGTGTTATTGTCATTTGTCATCTGCAGCAAACGCCGCGTCATGAAAACGTCAAACAAGCTTGATTGCACGGCCAAAAGCTTTCACTGAGCAACGTGACACGCAAGTGACACATTTTCAGTGTACATAAGAAACCTAAGGTGTAAAATGTCATCTAAAATGAATAAATAACAAGATGGGGGAATGCAAATCACAAATACTACTGCGTTGGGAAAGAATATGCTAAGGCAACAAACTCGCATTTATTCATCGCCACCGCCCCCACCCCCCACCGCCAATTAAAAAAAAAACCCTCGAGGCTACACCTTCAAACTATACCAGCGTAGCAATTACTACTTTTGAACACAAAGAACAGCAATGAAATGAGATTTCTGGGGGGGGGGGGGGGGGGGGGGGTTCCGATCATTGAACAAAAAGCTTCGCCGTCGCTGGGCTGCTTATTAGATTGGGTGGTCTCGGCCCGCCCATGATGGCGTCAGGCTTCTTGACAAGCCAAGCCCGCGGCGTTCACTCGACATTGTTGATCGGGCGGCAAACATAATCCGCGCCAAGTGTGAAATGAATGAAAACAACCAACCTCGCGCGTCCATCGGAGGGTCGAGTGGCGGACGACTTCGTCGCTGGTTTCCTCCTGTGTCGTCTGACAAAACTCCTCCTCGTTATTTGCGGACGATCTTTCCAACGATACAGTCGCTCCTCCGGAACGGAGTCGCTCGTTTTGACGGGCAAATAGAAACGCTTTTGTTGGCGCTACTCACGCCGCCTCATCGTGAGCTCATCGATTAGCGTGTCGCGTGAACTTCCGCCTCGTTTTTTTTTTTGGTCCACCGACGACGAGCCAAGCGAGTCGGAGATGCTTCCAGGCGCACAAACAAAACGGCACAGTTGACGTCTGTCTATTTTCAGCGCGAGGAAAATAGTTTGGACAAAAAACGTTGACATGAAACGCGTTAATTCTTTTGCGCAGACGTCAGCCGCAGCCTACTTCCGCCTTTTTCTTCTTCTATTGGCAGAAATGGCAGCCAGCACCCGCCACCTCGCAGTGCTGCCACCAAACGAAGACATTTGGTTTTGCGCCATTCCTTTGCCGCTTAAGACAGGGGTCCCCAACCGCCGGGCCGCGGACCGGTACCGGTCCGCAGGGCATTTGGTACCGGGCCGCACATGGAGATCGCAAATGACGGCGGCCTTAAAAGTACGTTCGAAAGTAACAACTGGATCAAAGTTATGGCTGAATACTCTGAGATCGCCACAATAGCACTGTTGCTATTTCCGGCATCCTACCTGTGTGAGGTGTGGAGTTTCTGCAGCAACGGCGACTAAAACAAAATTACGAAGTAGACTCGACATAAACCACACACTTAAGGTGTCATTACCCCGAGATGGGACTGTCTGATTGCAGAAAATCAAGCTCGGGACTGTGGTGAGTTGTCATTTTCATGCACTTTGAATTTGCGTTGTATCGTATTTTGAAGGCATTAAACATTACCACAGCGATAAGAGTGTTGCGACCAGATTAGACGCTCCTTGTGTTTATTATTATATTTCGAAAACACCACAGTTTTCATGCAGCTCATACCATATTATTTTGTTGTATTAATCCGCCACACCTTCAATGCCGGTCCCTGAAAATATTGTCTGACTTAAACCGGTCCGTGGGGCAAAAAAGGTTGGGGACCCCTGGCTTAAGATGTGTAAATTTTTATTTATTTTTTTTAAACTACCTCCGTTAGAAATGGAGCACCGCTACCCTCTGCTGGCGGGTCGGCTCATTACAAATCCTCAAGCCCTACAGTAATCCCTCGTTTATCGCAGTTAATGGGGACCAAAACCACCCGCGATAAACGAAAATCCGCGAAGTAGCGTCCAATTGACATAAACAGGTTTTTTTTTAAGTGCGCAAACAGTCCGCGAGAAGCTGCAAAACAACAGCGAGTCACATGGAGAAACATATACAGTACTGTACTCCATGTATATGTAAATTGGTTTTGTTCAATAAAAAAAAAAAAAAATTATGTTTGAAAAAATCCTCGATGCACTGAATCCGCGATAAACAAACCGCGAAGTAGCGAGGGATTACTGTACTGTATATGGCATGGGAAGAAATCACACGGCTCGGTTGAAGGTTCTGGTGTCGAAATATTATGATTGCATTTTTCGGTCAGCACCAAATAAACCGATAAAAGCGAGCGTGCTTGGCTTCCTGTTTGGAGAACTGTACAAATAAGTGTGACCCTGCACCCCACCCCCTCTCAAAATAACAAAAACAAATTCATAACAGAGACCCCAAGAAATACTTTGATAAAGTTGATTTGAACATGCACGTTTAGTTGTGTTTACAGAAAGTGGGGGTCAAATAAAGACGTCATATTTTCACTTCACGAGTCCAGTCGGGAACAAAAAGTCATGAAAAGGTCTATCGTCGCAATTATTTGTGGTTTGGTAGGCGTGCAGATTTTTTGGGGGGAACCTGCCCTCCATTAGTCACTGTCGGTATCTTGATGCCAGGGCGACAATTTTTCGTGAGCTTCCTTTGGATAGAAGTAGTCCTGTGTTGCGCTCTTGGCCATTTCTGGTCAATCGCAAGTCTACGGTCAGGTCTTCAGCGCCCCTGTCGCCATGACATCAACGCCAAGGTCTGCCGCGGCATCACCGACAAGGACCGCTGTCAACGCAAAAGGGCGTCACGGATGACTTTTGGCGGTGGCGTTTTGCCCGCGCTCAGCGCGAGTTTCCTGGCGCGTCAAGGGTCGCGTCTTCATTTCGCACACATTTGTGCTTGCTAAGCTGACTCGGAGTGGCAAATTTCTCTTGACACAGGTTGCAGCCAAAGGGCTTTTCTCCCGCGTGCTTCCTGGCATGAATGTTCAAATTGCCTTTCTGCGCAAACGTCTCGCCGCAAACAGAGCAGGCGAAAGGTTTCTCGCCGGTGTGCGTCCTGGTGTGTTTCCTCAAACTGCCTTTCAGAGCAAACGTTTTGCCACACAGCGAGCAGGAGAAGGGTTTCTCCCCCGTGTGCGTCCTCATGTGGATCACGAGGTTGCCCTTCTGCGAGAACCTCTCGCCGCACACCGAGCAAGGGAAGGGCTTCTCCCCGGTGTGCGTCCGCATGTGCTTCATCAAGTTTCCCTTCTGGGAGAAGTTCTCCCCGCACACCGAGCAGGAGAAGGGCTTCTCTCCCGTGTGCGTCCTCATGTGCGTGGTCAGGTTGACCTTCTGGGAGAAGCGTTCGCCGCAAACGGAGCAAGGGAAGGGTCTCTCCCCGCTGTGGGTCCTCATGTGGATCATCAGCGTGCCCTTGAGCGAGAAGCCGCCGCCGCACACGCAGCAGACGAAGGGTTTCTCCCCGGTGTGGATCATCACGTGCCCCACCAAGTGCTCCTGCCGGTTGAAGCTTTTGCCGCAAAACGGGCAGATGAAGATCCGCTCCCCCGCCTGCGACTCCTCGGCGGCCGGGGAGCACCCGAGGGGCGTCTGGCACGCAGAGTCTCCTCGGGGACTCCGGTCTTGCCGCGGCTCGCCTTCGTCTTGCTCATCTTCGCCTTTCACGATGACTCGGATCAGCGGGAACCGGCTGAGGTCCGCCTCCTCCCCCTCCTGCTCCCCGTCTTCGTGGCGGCTGACGTCCACTTCCTCCTGTTCTTGCTTGACGTGGGCCGGAGGGCTCAAGCGCCGCCGGCCTCCCTCTGCGGGACGCAAGAAAACAACTCGTCAAAAAAGATAGCGTCCGCAATACGGTTGCAAAACGTTGGGGCGGAATGGCGGCACCAGACTGTGTCCTGGGAAAACAAGTTTTTGCAAAAAGAATCTTGTCGAGCGGAACGCCGACTCCTACTTTTTTTTTTGCTTTGGGGGCAAAATAAGAAGTTATCGACGGACGTACAACGAAGAACCACGTCGCCAGATAGGTTGAATCAGCCTCCACTTTGCTTTTTGGGCGGTGTCGGTGACGCGCATCGCGGGATTCGGAGCGGAGTCGCGCACGCCGAGAGGAGAGCGGCGCCGACCTTGCGCGCGAGAATCCATCGCCGCGTCCGGTTGGACGTCGTCGCCGGTCGTCTCGTTTTTCTTCCTCGGCGTCCGCTAAAGCTTCTCTCGTCATCCGTCCAAATGTTCCGCCGCGCACCGCCGGGACGTTGTGCGCGGAAGTGGCCGCCGACCGGGCTCCGGGCTCCGGGCTCGAGCGCCTCGCGGACTTCCTCCTCCGCCGGCCTTTGTTTTGCGAGCTAACGCGCTAAGCTAGCCGGAGAAGCTTCCGAGTACGCCGAGACGAGGAGTGAGGCGTCAAATTTGGCCGGCAGACGGCCAAAGAAGCGACGCGGCGACGGGCGGACGTCACGTCGCTCAAGTGCTCGCGCACATCCTCACCGCGGTCTGCCGCGCGAGGCTCGGCCGCAGCTCGCTGGCTCACTTCCGCGTTTTGCTCCTTCGCTCGACTCGATTGGAGGACGGGTTCCGTGTCGTCAAGCTCTACGTCATTGACCCCACCCCCACTCCACCCCGCCATTTCAATTCAACAACAACAAAAAAAATCCATCTGGAGCCTTATTCAAAAAGGTCCTCGTGTGAAATCAAGAGTCAATGGCCACGCTCTCAACAAGTCGTAAAAACGAGATCACAATCACGAAATGTGCCGCCACTTCCTGATGATTGAAGTCAACGTGTTACCTGACCGGAAAGAATGGCTTCGTTTGAACCCGAAACTCATCACGTCACAAATGACGCTCGTATGACGTTGAACTTTTTCCATGCGGGTTTCCGGTATGGCTCCGTCACTTCCTACCTCGAGACTGAATTGGGTGAAACTTAGCCCGACGCATCAAAGTGTTGGGTGCCGAGGATGGAACAGGGGCCAACTTCACCCCCGAGCTCCACCGACGTAAAAAGGCCACTCGGTTCAGCGGCGAGAGGTGAGCGGAAAGCTTCCAAATAAATCCTTCCATGACATGCGAGAGTATCCAATTTGTGAAACGGGCATGAAGAGGGCACGTTGGTGCTTGCGCGTGCGGATGTTTGGATTCCCATTCGGGGAAGGAAACGTCAGGATTTCCTCCGCAGGCTCTCAATGAACAAAATGAGCACACTCGGACGGTTTCATTGGGTTTTATTAGTCTCGGGCGAACTCGTCTCTCTAGTCGCGGGTTACAAAGTGTCGGATAGGTATCCGCAATAGGACTCCATTTGTGTACAAAAACCACGTCGGCGCCGCCGGCCTCGACGCCTACGCGTCAAAGTCGGTCCGAGCGCTGCCGCCCTCGCCGGCGCAGGCGCGTTTGTCGAGTTGACGCCCGTGCGAGAATTTGTCCTCGCACGAGTCGCAGCCGAAGGGCTTCTCGCCGGCGTGCGTGCGCGCGTGCACGTCGAGCGTCCCCTTGACGGAGAATTTCTTGCCGCACACGTCGCACGAGAAGGGCTTTTCTCCCGTGTGGATGCGGGTGTGTCCGATCAGCTGGCCGCGCTGAGCGAAGCCTTCGCCGCAGAACGAGCACTTGAAGGGTTTCTCGCCGGTGTGCGTGCGCAGGTGCTGGATCAGGGCGGGGCGCACGCTGAAGCCGGCGTTGCACTCGCTGCACTTGAAGGGCTTTTCGCCCGTGTGCTTCCTGGTGTGTCGCATCAGGTTGCCTTTGAGCGAGAAGCGCTTGCCGCAGAAGGAGCACGTGAAGGGCTTCTCGCCCGTGTGCGTCCTCATGTGGTAGACCAGATGCGCCTTGCGGATGAACCTCTTGGGGCACACGGTGCAGCTGAAAGGTTTCTCCCCCGAGTGGATCATCATGTGCCGCTGCAAATCGGACATCTTGAAAAAGGCCGAGTCGCACAGGGAGCATTTGAAGTGCTTGGCGTCGAATCGCGCGTGGTCCGAGGGATAGCCCCGGGGCGCCTCGGCCCGCGCGACCGAGGGGCCGCCCGCTTTC